CAAAGCTGAACAATGAAAATATAAGGGCTTTTTAACCAGATTTGTGAAAATGCGAATTTTATGTATAAGTTTTTTCAAATTATTGCTACATTGTTACACAGAACTTGTGAAACAGTAAAATCTCTGTGTAAAAAAACTTATTCATAATAATCGATTGTCAGTGACCACCATGTTAGGTGATTTGGCACTTTCTTATCAGGAAATATAGACAAAAGTTTGCATTTTTACCAGCAAATTCCTAAGTTCAAGCTTAAACTCCAAAACTTCTCATTATGTTTAAATGAGTTAAGTATAGGAATATTCCTCTTAATGGGAGCTTTAGTATATCATCTTCAGCCTACTGAAAGCATGAAATGACTCATGACACTCATTGAATATTTTTAAAAGGAAATCATTGTAAAAAGTCCCAGTATTTAGGAATTCCCATGTTACCAAAATTCGGTATTAGACTGTTATTATTCACAATCAAATTTTTAGGCAAATGGCATATTTAGGGCTCAATGTTTTTATGTTCCAGAAATAAAAATAATTTTCTTTTTAAAAGAAGTTGATTATTTCCTTTGACCAGTCTAAAACAGTAATCCTGTCAAATCAGTCCATAATTAGACCTGAATCATAACATGACTGTTATACAAAGAACCATTTCAAATGTTTTAAGAGGATTTAATTCAGTGCTAATCACAGTTTCTCTCTTCCTTGATCTCAAAATTTTTGGAGACAGTATGTTTAGGCAGATTTGGCTACAAATTAAAGAGGAGATAAAACAATGCGATTTTTATACCCTCTGTGGCTTATTTTTTTGGTGAAGTATTTCACAATACTCATGTATATAATGCTCACAATATTCAACTGCTGCACACAGGGTACTTGTATTTTGGGCAAGGCAGCAAACACAGCAATGTGAGCTCTGGAAACAGCCTGAAATGTGGACAAAACACACCAATGGCTTTGGAAAGCCACATGAGCTGTTTCACAAATGTAACATAGATATCCAGCAAATGCAAAAAACCAACTCTGTTATGCTGTCTGGTCCAGAAGGCAATGCTTTTAGCATGTGTGGCTAATAGGAGCCTTAGCTGTGCTTGATCACTTCCCCCATAAGCTGTTTAAACATGAGGCATTAGGCTGGAAAGCTGAGCACTTTCACAGAAGATGGGGGTTAATAATTCACAATGCAAAATCCTGTTTGATCTGCTGAGGAATTCAATCCAGCTAGAGCATAATTTTGTTTAATAGCATGGTGGGCGAGGAGGTTGCCAGAGGTGGGATGCTTCCCTCCTGGCTGAGGTCAGGCTGCTGGAGCTGGCCCATGTGCCAGCACCTGGAGTTCTGCTGTCTGCCTTCCTCGTGGTCTGCTCCCTTTTGCTGTGCGTTTAGCACACGCACGTGTATTCATGTCTGAGCTCCATTGTCTCTGGCAGCTGCTGTAGGTGAGTTGTGGATGAGTTTCTGGAAGTCTCCCAAGGCACAGATACTCCTAGCCCACCAGAAGGAGCCTCATTCTTCAGGTGGAGGCTCCCCAGCTGAGGAATGTGCCAATAATGAGAGAAGAGAAGCCAAGCTTTTCCCTGGTGTGTCGATGTACAGGTACACTCACTGCTGGGCTGAGGGCTGCCTGTCAAAGCCAAGAGCACAAGGGAGCTGTATAGGTAGGATTTTCCCCTCGTGCACATCCCACACATGGCAATTCACTGCGTGCTTCCTTGCGATGTTTAGAGCTGCGTCTTTGAGGAGAATGGAAAATTTGTCAAAATGTTGCTACTTTAACAGAAAGCTGGGTGAGTTCCCTTGTTGTTCATAGAATGTACCTTTCTTTTACTGCTGCTAATGCAGAAAGCAGCTGATCATATTTTGTGGGACTCACATTGTTTTTATAGTACTTCGCCTCTGGAATAAACCAGAGCATATTGCATGTCAAGAATGGCACAGATTTTATGGTGGAAGACAGGCCATGGATTCCCATGGATGCTCTTTCTTTCCTTCAGACATCTGAGAGACATTGAGTGCTGTACTGTGCCATCAGAGACATAGTAGCTCCTCAAAAATAGAAAGGATTTTCATTTGTCACTTTTAAGTGCATTCAGCATGCACTTGCCTATTTGGATTGTTAAAGCCTTTCGTCAAGCACTTGTGCAACACCTCATCCTAACCCACAACTGCAGTCTTTTGCTGTAATACAAACAGTGATGATAAATTAATGTCTGGTTTGGCAATATTACTACAGTCTCCAATTCTGAGAAAGTGTTTTCATTTAGAGAAGAGAAATCAAATGGCAGATTTCACTGTCTCTCACTCTTCCTGTCCGTGAACAAGCTGGTCCTTGTTGTAAACCCTGTGTAACTCACTTTGGTGGAGGAGGCACTGTGGAAGCCCCTCACCCTTAAAATAAGGGCAGCACAACAGTAGTTATTTCTTGTGGATTTCTTTAGTTGGCTATTTCAAAAGGAGAAGGAAAGAGTTTCTTGAAAACCAAGTACAAAGGTTTCACAAGTAGAAAGGCCAGAGCAGACAGAGGTGAAATGCATTACAAACATGATGCTCTTTCCAAACTGAGCATCACCAGCACAGAAGCAACAATGTGCTGTTGTTCACCTTCCAAAGTCTGGCGCTGTTTCCTCACATGATGCAGAGGGGATAGTCAGAATCCCTGGAAAATCAGCTTCGTCAGCTGGGCTCTCACAAGGCAAACACTGCTTCCTGAGACTGCTCAGCCTGAACTCACATAACACCCTGGCTGAGGCTAAGAAGGTGACTGGCATTGCTCAGAAGTACCTTACCAAAAATAAACATCCACGGAGCCATGGAGCCACTGCTCTTCAGTGCTGCTCTCAAGATCTCTCTGAGTTTCCTGGAGATACAAAAATCAACCAGGAGGAAGCACTCGTGACCCACTGGAATGGCTGCATTGCTATGCTCTCTCAGAAAGGACCAGCCTTTAAGCTGGGGAAGTTTCCAGGTGTGTATTTCTGTCCATGCTACAAAGAGCCATGGCCAGCAAGGGTTAATAATAGTCTTTCCTCGTTTTTCATATCATACATACATCAGGGTATGACCATGAATTCATACACTAATTTTATTCACTGTCCTCACAGCCTTAGAGAAAATAAAGGCAGGGAGCTTTTGCAAGGAGCATTTGATATCTGCAAACTTGTGGGTTGAGTCAGAGAGCTGGGGCAAGTGAAAGGGATATCCCATCATTCCTAGAAACGTCTAAGTTAGAGGCAGCAGAGGGATAGCCAAGACAGCAGGATGTGAGGAGTGCTTAGAGGAGTGAGGAGAGCATGGGTAGCCTTGCTTAAGGAAAGGTATATTTCCTTTTTATATATCCCAGCTGCTGCTCCCTCAGCAAGCTCAGCTCACAGACCACAAAGTCTGCATGAGAGAAAAGCAGCTGGGAGATATAAAGGCAGAGATTTAAATGAAGTGTGTGTATTTTAAAACATGAAAACACTGCAGCAGGGTCCAACTCCTCCTTGTCTTTTGCCCTGCACTGGCTACCCCAGCACCATTAATCTCAAGGGAAAACTAGATTGGCCTTTGAGCTAGGGCTTTCCTCTCTGATTACAGTGTTTGGGCTGCACAGCGCCGGCTAAGCTCCAGATGCTGGAGCATCACAGGCACGCCCATTCCCAGACGGAGGATGCCGTGTTAAGGGACTGCCACCTGGCAGCATCTCCAAGGAACTGCAAAAACACTTCGCAGAGACAGAGGTTAGCGAGCACCAGCCTGCAGGAGACTCGGAGAGCATCCAGGAAAGAGAGATCAGGTCTGGTTGAGCCAGACTGGTGTTGCTGACTGATGGAGCTGGTGTGGAGGAGCTGCTGCTGTGATGAAAAGCACTAGGCCAGGGAAACATTAATGGTGACAACCTTATCAGGGACTTCCCCACTCACTTAAGAAGTTGTTCTTCCTTTGAGAAAAATCCCACTGTTTTCCCTCTCTCACTCCAAGTTGGCTGAAGATGCCTGGACTAGCTGTACTCAGTCATGGGCTCTTTTAAGGTAAGAATTAAGCATCTGGAAAGGTAGGTCTCACTTTGTCCCTACTCTTCTAGTTAAACAGAGAAGACCAAAGGTAACTACTGTACTGAAGAGCGGTGTGGGATGAATAGAAAAATTAAATAATCTCTCTTGATAAAGACCCAATAACCCAATTTCTTTCATTTTGAAGTCTCTTTGCTTCTTTTGTCTTGCAACAAGCTGGAAGATGAAACAAGAGCATCTTCTCAACACATTCTCTGGATATTTCCCCCAGATATGACTCTCAGACAGGTTGCCTAAATCTTTCTAAACCTTTTCTAATGCTTTAAAAAGGAGCATACAAAAGGCAGTAAGTAATTTATGTAACATTTCAAAAGACTTCAGTTGGGAGCACTTTGGAACGTTTGTTGTGTTACCCAATATCATAGGAAACAAACTTCCAAACTTTTGTTTGTAAAGAGACCTGCATGAACAAGACAAATTTGAGGCTTATCTTAGCCTGAGATCCTTTTGCCAATAGTTGTTGCTATGCTTAGCAGGTGAAGGGCCCTTGACAAGTAGTACAAAGTTTGGTTATATTTACATAATTCATATATAAATTTGCATACAGAGAAAAGCTCAAGAGAGATGGAGAGCTGGAGAGATTGAGTCACTTCTAATTTTTAGAGTCATCACAGTGGATTAAGGTGCTGAATGACATCATTAGCACACCTTCAGCTGCGACCTCGTAGGTTCATTGCTAGCTATGACATCTTAGCTAAGCCTGCTTAGCCAAGAACGCCCCATGTATATTCATATATTAAGGCTATGAGGAAGTTGGTCAATGAATACCAAATGAACATTTATTACCAAGAAAGTTATGAAAAATCCTGCTCTACCTTTCACACAGGCTGTCTGACAGGCACCAACAGTGGGCCAGGGCTGGTTTCCCAGATGTGAAAGCGTTTGTGCACCCCCTGCAGATTATCTGTGATTCCCTGAGCATTGGAGCTGAATTAGGGGGGATCAGGGATGACTTACCAGTCCGTGTGTGCGTCGTCGATCACCAGGAGGATCTTGGGTTTCTGTGCCACGGGGGGCGCGGGGCCGGCCGAGTGGTCCATCAGCCCCGCGGCCGCCTGCGTGGTTTGCTTCATGGCGCTGGAGATGGAGCTGAAGATGCTGCTGCCGGTAGAGGAAGAGTGCGAGGGCTGGGGTGGCTGCAGGTGCTTTCTCTCCGTGGCAGGAGAAACCGGGGAGCTCGTGGAGCTGTCGGGGCGCTGCAAGTCCATCATGTAACCATTGGGCAGGTTCGCCACGAAGCTACTGTCTGAGAGACGCCGCCGGAGGAAATTCATCGTTGCAGTGCTGTGGGGAAACTTCCTCAGCAAGAGCAAGGCTGAACAGTGCTGTTAGCAGTCCTGGAGGATGTCTCTGTGTCAGTGTGGGTACCTCCTTCAAGTCCAGGCAGGCAGGCTTTACCCCTTCAAATTGTGCTGGAGATCTATGCCTAATTTTGTCAGCTAAATTTTCCTTCTCTCCTGTGGGAAGAGAATCAAAGAAATATATGTGAGATAGATACTGTGAGAATGAGTTAAGTAACCCCCTTTTGGTCTCTTAGACAGGTACTTTAATCAACAAGAGAAGAAAGGACTGCTGGTTGCTATGCAGTATTCCACATTGCTACAGTCAAACAATTAGGACAAAATATGTGCCACCATTCTCATCCTCACACATTTTCTGGTCAGTAGAGACCAGCCTGCACTAGCTTATCTTCTATCACTGTGGAGAAAGAAAAAATTACTCTGAGAAATGTTAATTTTAAAATTAGAGGCATCTTATTTCTGGTATCTTGTGTGTTGAAAATTAAAGAATAACCAGCAAATAATCCAAATGGATACAAAGTTGTATCATCTTTGGTAGGCTTGTGAGCAAGGTTCTGCAAGTAAGGAATAAATGTCTGAAATCCAAATAGTATGTAAACAATAAATAGCAAAACCAAAAAATTCCCATATGCATTTTGATCAAGTTCAGTGACAGAAATGACACTTTTCTGCCCTTCCTCCTCTCTGCACTGACTCTGAGCCAGGTCCTCGCTGGTGGTTAGTTGGTACTAGCAGGCTATCTGAATTTTAGAAATTCACTTGTAGGAATTTTGCACATACTCAAAACTAGAAACTTGGCTGTCTAATCTTCACAAAATTTTTCCCTCTCTCATTGGTGTTTTTGGTTTGTTTTGTTTTAATGAGAATTTATTCTGCTCATCTCAAGTGAGAAAACAAACACAGTAAAATAAAAGTATTTTACTCTTCTCCTTTGATTATGATGACTTTGTTTTTACTCAGAGTACTAAGTATTTCAGCAATTAATTAATCTCACAGTTTAAAAAATAATCACCTCTAGGTACACCCCAGAAGACAGACTTCCACAGAAATTTCCCGAGAAATTTTTATCTGCTAAGATAGCCTTTGAGTCTTGGTTGGTGAGATTTAGGGGAAAACCAAAAGAAAATTTTTACTGATAAAATTTTCCAATGAATACATATTTGCAGCAACAAAAGTGAGTGTTATCCCATACATCAAATTAGATTAGTCTCATGCATCTGTGGTATCATTGTTTAAATTATGCCTTACCCCCCTCAAGTCTCTTTGAATGACCCCCTGCAAATACTGGAGCTGCTTGCCTGCACCTGGTTTGGTCTCCCTTACTGCTCACCCTCTTGTCCCAAACTCTGATTGCCTCCTGATGGCAGAAAATTGTCTTTTCCCAGTTGTCCAAGGGAACTAACTAATTGTGAATCTCCCTCCTGGAGCTGTAGGTGAGAGCTCATGGAGCAACCAAACAGCTTTCTTAAAATAATCTCTCATTTATTTTCAGCTATAGAGATTTTAAAAGCTTTACTGGCAAAGGAGTCAGACCTGTCCATGTGTGTATCTCTTGTAGCCCCCAAATCCTTAGAGAGGCTCAGATGAGCCTACTGGAAGTAAGCAAGCTACAAAAAGCCCCTTGGCACATCCCCAAATCTCATAGTCCATCACCACCCCGGCTCTGCAGGCACAGGATCCACTTGGAGCAGAGGGCTCCCTCCTGGAGCTGCTGACACTGGCTCACTAGAATAATTTTTATTTTGATTTCTAAGCCCTTGCAGTGCAAGTCCTCTGACTTTGCTGGAGCCTGGAGGTAGTTTTTTCCCAGGGAATGGCTCAGGAAATCTTTAATGACTTCCTGCCACATTCACAGTCGATAATGTATCTCGGGTATTGTGCTGACTTCCCGCCTGGTCCCGGTGCACCCGGTGACTGCACAACATCAGCAGACACACACCGGGGAGCACTTCAGTAGCACTGCCTGCAGGAGTTGTTCCAAAAAGCAGGTAATGGAGAGTACTCATGAATTGTGAGCCAGCTACTCACCCCATAAATGCACCCACACGATACTTGTCCTGCTGCAGGAATGGTGAGTGCCAGAACTGAGCCATCCACTGTTACCTGTCCAGGATGGCCTGGGTGGAACAAAGGCTTTGGGGGATTTATACACCACAGACTGGGTAAAAATGTGCTGTGCTGTCCTCTGCTCAGGAACCTGTCTTTTCTGCTTGCATATCACAAATAAGAAAAATCCCTTCCCTTGACTGACAATCTATTTAGGAGTTGGTGCAGTCCTGGTTAAAGAGCAGCATCCCAGAGATCTGCCTACTGCCAGAAGGGTTTCAGATAAGTGCCCCATTACTGGGTACAGCTATTAGGCATGCTCTCTTGTAGGGCCTTGGTGTTAACTGGCAAGACATGGGGCATACATTTGATACTGGTCTTGGGAGAAGCACCTGCAGCAGAAATTTCCTGCTCTTTGCATGACCTGTACAACATCACTGAGCTGCTGGTTCCTGCCATGGCAGCTCTCAGCCACGGGAGGGAACCTGTCCTCAGCCATACAGGCTGGACAGGGCTCTTGTCACAAGCCAGTATCCTTGGGACAGAGCCTATAAAAACTTGCATTACTGTGAAGGTGCTTCTTCCCCTCTACCAGGTGTTTGCACAGCTGCTTCTTCCCCTGAGAGGTTCGCACTCTCCAAATGAACATGGGTAACTTGCAAAGCATCAGCAAGTAAATAAATGGGCAAATGTCTGCTGGGCCCTGCAGTGAGGGAAGAACAGCACAGAGGTTTATGACCTAGGGTATCCCAAGGTTGGGTCAGGCCAGAGTATTCCATGAGGTGCAGAGTTTTCCTCTGCAACAGAGCTTCCCAAATTGTGCCCAGTGCTCACGCCAAACAATTTATCATACTCAGAGCAAGGCCATGACCACTCTCCTCCTGGACCCTTTTAAACAGGAATATTTGCAGTGATCTGTCATTTTTTTTTCCACCGGGGGTTTCATAGTGGGAGTTGTTGTGCAAACTGCCAGAAGCTTTTCTGCCAGCAGTTTACACTGCTTTGATTGCTGGAAAACCTCATAGTCTGCTTTTGCATCACTCACACTTACTGTTATTTAACTTTCAGAAGTAGATGCTTTCATACAGGTACAGGCTGAGTAGGTTAGGACCTGTTTTTTCTACTGCTTGAAACTCTGTGGACTTCCTGAGGGCTCAGCCTGTCAGGCCAAATCTGGCTCTCTAGCTCTTATGCAGCACAGCATCCACCCTGTGCATGCACATATCTTACCCTGGCAAGTGAGCAGGGCTGCAATTTTAACAAATGCAGGAGCCTACACCTCCATCAGAAGCAAGACAGATCTGCTGAGTGGATTCTTGTCACTCCAGAGCCACAGGCAGGAGAGCTGCTGGCTCTGCACCATCAAGTCATATGTTCCCTATGTACACCAGTTTTCCTATGGCTCACACGGAGACACATCCCCTACTTAATGCTGTGCCAGGCACAAACTTGCTGCAGGAAGGGAGCTCCCTGCACAGCTGGAAATACAGCCCATGGGCTGCTTCCAGACCAAGAAACAGCTCCTGTGGAGTTCCTCAAGTTGTAAGACAAGCAGCTGCTTCTCACCAAGCAAGAGTCATCTGCTGCTGAGTGAAACAGCTGCTCCTGAAAACTGGCTGGGAAAACAGCATCTGGGCCATGGAGCTGCAGGCTGGGGATCTGGTCTGAGCTGCAGGGTGAGGAAATAATAACTGAGGCACAGGAGAATGAGTGAGTCCTGAGGAAAGAGAGCAGGGAAGAGAGATGGGGAGAGGAGGAGGAGGCACGAGCAGAAAGGGGGGAAGCAAGCAGGAATAGGCTTAACCAGCAGACAATGCAGGAGCACACAGAAATCCCAACAATATGAGCACCATCAGGGAACCAAAAGGGAACAATGTGAGCAACTAGAGGAGGCAAGAAGAAGGTCAGTTAGAGCTGACCTTGAAAACAACAGCCAAGAGGTTGGCACTGTCAGCTGCTTACTAACACACAGCTAAACTTCCTGGCTGATATTTTTGGAAGAGCAAGGGAGGATATACAATACACTCAGCACACTGGCAGCAGCCACGCACCTACCTGCTTTCTCTCAAGGATATACTCCATGGAGACGCAAGTTATCTCAGAAAACCTGTTGACATGTGTTAGAACACAAGAACAGAATGTTCACTTAAACCTCTTGTTGGGTTATTTTCTGATGAGCAGTAGTGTCTGGAGGGAGCCCAGCTCAGCTGGCTGATAGCTGTTACTCATGCTTAGATTTCCCCTGAGCTTATCTCATGCTGTCAGGTAATGAACTGACACAACCACACCAACCTGCATCTGATTACTGCTCTTGACAGAGCAACGCTGGGGGCAGCAGGATGGAAAAACACTGTGGAGGAATTATCCTCCCACCTGAGCATTAGGGACTGCACTCTTCTTTCTGCCCCGTGGTGGGTGGGAAGGTGAGGGGATGCTCCTCACCTGGCAGCAATCATTGACTTTCACCCCTCAAATCCATTTTGCAGATCATCTTCAGCATACATTCAAGTCTTAATACATTCCCATGGATCCCTTTCTGCCTTCAGGCATACTGACATTACGTGGGAGTCGACCTCTGTGGAGGGACAGCATTGTTAGGAAACTCAAAATCCAGCTGGATGCCTTTCCACACACAGTATATTTTTTAAAACTGTATTTTCCACAGTTTTTAGTATATTTCAAAAAGAGGAAAGCAAGAGGTTATTTATTTTTATCAAGCTTTCAGTGTTTTACCCTGAATGGTTTCAGCAACCCAAGCTTGGCATAACTTGGCCTTTCTTAGGAAGAACTGAAAGCACAATAAAAGAAATTGTTCTAAAATTAACTAGCATTTTTGTTGGATTTTTATTTCATTTGCCACAGTCCTGGGTTCAAGAGGTTCACATGTATAAACATTTCTTGGTATTTTTCAGCAACAGCTGAAACTCTGTAAATCAGGCAATTACAACAGTATGAGTAAGAAAAAGGAAAGGAAAAGGATACACCACCAAATACTCCACATTTTGTAAACCTGAAACACATACAAAAAGCATAAGAGTTGGAAAGACTATGCCAGCCCAAAGAACAGAGGCAAGCAGAGTTTCCATGTTGGTTTTCAGTGTACAGAGAGCTTTCCCAAACACCAGCTACAGAATACAGCTCTAATGTAGACGCTGGTTTAAATTTTCCAGAGCATGTAAAACTACAGCACAAATTCCAGTGACACCAGCAGAGCCATATGGTGTCTTTTGAGGCAGTTGCAAGAAGTCAGGAGCCTGCAGCTGGAGGGGATGCCAGGGCCGGGGAGCAGAAAGCTATCAGGACAATAATCCCACCCGGAGCCCAAATCTCCTGCTACGTGTGAGACAGCAGCTCACCAGAACCAGAGGATGGCCTGGGCTGGAAGGGATCCTAAGGATCATCTAGTTCCACCCATCCTTCTGTGGATTTCCACAAGAAATCAGTCTCTTGTGCATCGATTTCTCTGCTCAAACAGAGATTGTCAGATATGGCAGGATGTCTCTCTGTCAGAAGTGAATCACTTCACAATGTTCAACATGCTTCACTAAGCCACAGAAGCAATGATTCCATTGTCTTATTGCTGTATTCCTGTAGATCTAAAAAAAAAAATGCTCTCTGCCTGCTTGGGTGGGTATTTAACTGGAAGTCTAGGTTTCACAAATCTTATCTGTATTTTTCTCTTGCAAAGCTGCCAGAGCAGTTTCATGGTAAGGGGGCTGCCTTATCTCCTGAAGATAGTGGGGGGTATGCATATCAAACCAAGTGCAAATGGGACCATATCCCAAAAGCTATACCCTCTTTTGCACAGCAAATGTGTAAATCTGCTTCCTCTTTTGCCTATTATTTCATAATGGCAAGTGAGGAAAAGAAGATGGGGGGAAAACAATCTGAAGTGAAAAAATGCCTCTGTCAGATCACCAGACTTTCAAGTAGATTGCAAAGGAAGATGACTAAAGCCATGAACAATAGTGAAAAATTTTCTAGCAAAAATAAATCTGAATATTATGATAATACTCTCTGGCTTTAATATCCCCCAAGAACAAATTACAACGTGCTACTTCTTGGAAACAATATATTATTTCATCATTTTAGTCTCACTTTGGAAATCATGTTGGCACCTAATGGCTGCAGTGTTGTCTCAGTGGTAATATCCTCTTGTCAATGAGCTTATGGAGGCCTTTTGTGGCCTGTCTGTTCAACATCAATAATTGCTTATCAGCAAAGCCAGACCCAGCACAACTGGAGCAAGCAGTGTGTCTAATCCTTGAATGCCACAGAGTCATCTCCATCTCAAAGTCAGTTGAGTTTGCATCCTGGCTGAATTTCTTATTTCCCAGGAGTGCTGTGGTCATTCCTACCCCAAGCAATAGCGACACTAATGCTTCCATTAAAGCTGAAAGTTACACACATGCCAAAGTGGCTCCTTATGGTGATAGTAAAGGAAAGCAGGAGACAGTGCTACAAACCAGAGAACTTGCAGAGATAAATGCTCTGCATATTAAGTGGATGAAATTGTAAGAAGGAAGTAAGCAGGGCTTGAAAGGCCCCGTCTTTTTCCTTCCCAATCTTGGATCTGATGCAGTTCATGTCGTGTGTTGTGAGACATGCTTCAAGTTTCCTGCAGCAACTGTGCAAGTCCTCATTTCATGGTGATAAGAGTGAAAGTGGCACCAGACACGCCGTTAATAGAGCAGGGATTTCCTTCAGCTGAGAGGCGTGCTGCTTTGAAGAGTGCTGATCTGAATAAAATCAAGAAGCTGGGTGTATTTAATATGTAGGGCCTGTCAATATGCATTAGGGCTCATGCAGATAAGAGATGCCTCAGGGACTGACAACTCACAGGGTCTCAAAGGAAACTGCAGCAGCTTGCCCAGTGCTAATGGGGCTCATGTCTTGATTGTGATCACTTCCTCATTACTGTGCCATTTTCTTTCTACTCTATTTCAGTTCTGCCACAAAAGACTGCTTATTCAAAATGCTTGGAAACAAAATATTTCATTACCATAAAGTGAAGTAGATATGTTGTAGGGAAAAATGTGCTATAGGCTGTGAAACTGGAAGAAACAATTAACTAAGAGATAATTATTAGATAATTATTAGTTGACTGATAGTGATAAGAAGGATTTTCTATTTGGAGCACAAATTTTATTACTTTTGATATGTTTATAAGACAAAAATCTATTGCATATTTCCAAATAAAAATCTTCAAACACAACTTCATAATTCTTGCATCTATGCTTCTATTTCATTTTAAGCTGCCAAAAACTCAATTTCTTTCCCAAATTTTCTATGCTTCTAGGGGTTAAAAAGTCTTCCTTCAAACTTTTGAAGTCCTCCAAACTATCTGCAGTACAAACATACTCCATCTAAGCTTTTTTGCCATTTCCATCGACCTAATTTCTTCCCCTTGCATCATTCCAGGCACTAGGATATTCCAGTTTCCCAGATTTTCCCCATATGGCAAGGAAACCCTTATCAGATACTTGAGATTTACTTCACCTGATGATGTGAGCAGCAGATATCTGGAGAAATAAACCCTGTAATTTGCCTTTGTGTAGCTCATTTGCTTTCTAACCATATGTGCCCATCTCATGCAGCAATACAAAGACTAAGCCAAGAACTGGAGCATGCTTACTGATTTATTTTGATGATGGAAGAGAAAGTGGATGTTTTATTGCATTCTGGGCAAGATTTGTGACACAACGGTAAGATAGCTTGATGTCAATTCTTTCATGTGATGTAGAAGGGGTGGGAGATTGACTGGCTGGACTATTCCTGCCAAAGAGACAGAGAAAATGAGGATTGGTAGACCTTCAACTGGAGCACTGCAGTGGTTGTCTCAAGCTCTGTGACAGCCAACCCAAACCATGCTGAGCATTTGTGGGAGATATTTTTCTTCACTTTTTTTTTTTATCTTTAGTATTGATCACATGGAGACACATGAAAAGATGTGTGGGTTTGTGGAACATGTCCCTTTTGCTCCCACCATGTACCCACACACACTTCTCACCTCAAATAGGGCACATTCCTCTATCCCAGAGCTGGACTGAGCACCCCAGTCTTTGTGATGTTCCAGTGCCCGTTCCCTGTTGCAATCTCAAAACCATGCATAAGATCCTACTCTAGCATGGCTGTAGGTTGGAGAGATGCAAGCCAAACATATTTGTGGTACCACCAGGAGCTTCTGCAGGACAGTCAGGGGGTAGGTGTTTAGCTCCCTTAAAAGAAAGAATCTGGACAGATCTGAAGGTTTTCATGAATTCATAAATTTATATTGTCTCTGTAGGGACACTGTGTTGATAAAGAGTTGAATCAGCAGAGGTGCACTTCTAAGATTAGAAAATAGCTTTTAAAAAGCTTGTGATAAATTTTACCACTCCCTTATTTCACTAACTTTCTTTTATCTGATTGTCTTCTCTCCCAGTTCCTGCCTGATCTCCTATCCAGTCTTTGTACTCATGCTGGATGGTGTAGGAGCCATCCACAATTGGCTCCAAACACCAAATACTGTGTTTAGACAAAAAGCATCAGAACATACAATACATGAGCGTAGGCACTGGATTAGATTCTGGACCCAGACAAAGTTCTGAGAGATCAGGCTAGTGGGCTGCACTCAGAGGTGGAAATAAAGCACAATGTGATTTTAACAGACTTCTACTATCAGCTTAGGGAAAGGTCACACAGTATCAGCGCCTTGGTTTCCCATTTAAGAAGACAAACTTGATTTTGCAGAGATCTTGCAAGGGTCAGCTCATACACCTCCATGCTGCACCTCTGAGCCAAGCACAGGCAGCTTCGAGAATTCTGATTCCCCTGCTGATCAATAGCTGAATTACAAAGCTTTACAAGAGTGGCCAGACTTATTTAAGAAACCAACCACCAAACCTTTCAAGACCTGGAGAGTATATAGCCACCATGAGTGGGGGAAAAAACGAAAAAGCTTTCTTGGAGGAAAAAAGCGTCACTTAGGCCATTTTGTAACAGGGAACACAAAGGATGAATCTGCACAGCTATTTTAGGTTCTCCTGTGCTTTGAGAAGTTCTGTCTCAAGGAAAGGAGAGAAGGAAGGGGAAGAGGAGAAGAGAAGCATGTAGCAGCTCTGCAGCTGGACAGCCCCGGCAGGCGCTGTGAGAGGAACTCAAGCCACAGGCACTGATGTGAGTTCTTGCTGGGTGCACACACAGGTATGGTGTGAATTACTGCTCACAGAGAGCAAGAGCATTGCAGCAGGCAGAACAGAAGTGGGGACATCCTGCAAACCTCACAGAGAAGTTATCTGAGAGCCACTCTGGAGCCTCCCTTTCCACATCTGTGTCCTGACTAGCAGGACAGGTAAGCAGTTACTACTTGTATACAATTGTACAATGACAGAATCAGCATTGCAAAGTATTCGTATTCCTCTCTGAGGCAATCTGCATTTTTCAGAGCTAAGTAGTGCTGTCCCACATGACTGAAGCTTACACACAAAAGCCGCTTTTACTCTGGATATTCATTAGAAAACAAAAAGATGTGCCCAAGAGTAGATTGCAATATCAGCTGAAGAATCCAAACCAAAATTCAAAGAGTTCTGAGTA